ACTCCTTTGTTCTGTTTTTTGACTGCAAAGTGAATTCACAGTTTGAATACATATGGGTACCAACTGCCTCTAAAGCATTGGATGGTGGAAGTAAGACAAAGCTTCACTTCATACCCTAACTGAGTCTGAATTTCCAACTTTCAAATGCCCCATTAGCAGTGAGAGGGCCATGGAAAATATATTTATGATTTGCTAGGGAAAAACCTAACTTCCTTCCAACCTGCAAAGGAACATAAGACCTAACCAGGAATAGAAATATTTTCTTTTGACAATCATACTTCTACCTTTGTTTTATTCAGCCATCGTGTTCTTACCTTCTATTTTTCCCCTTTAATAAATTTTCTCAAGTCAAGCCATTAAAGATGGAGGCAGGGTGTATGTGGTTCAGAAAAATAGTTTTGAAGTTGTCATTGGGCATTCTGAAAAATTTGCACACCTACAGTCCTTTCAGATCAACATTTTCTTTTTTCAATACCAGTGTGAAAGCTACTAGAACAGCATTTTGCTGACTGTGGTCATTGAACTGTTCTGGCTCAGATTTCCCTCTCCACATCAAAAGATTATGAAATATAGCCTTTTATGTAAAGTTACTTGAGGTCCTTGGAGGGACAACATACAAGTGTAAAAAAAATAAAGACAGTATTTCTATTAGTTTTGAAACCCCTCAAAATTAGGATAAAAATGATCAGTAATTCATCACTGAATATGGGATTCTCCCCAGTGCAATAATTAGTAATAATCTTAACATTTTTACTTAGCAATTTCTTTCAAGAGATTTTAATAACAGGATTCTATTCAATACCCAAGCATAGTGTGGATCTGTTTTCCCACTGCAGAAACACAATTTATTGTTCATCCCCGTCCTTCTGAAATGGGAATATGATCTCAAGGCAATCAGCCAGCACACAATAATCTATGCCAGGAGGAAAAATATCAGACTATAATGCCCAGAAAATAATGAGTTAAGTGAACACCGGAGAGACACCTCTGGCCTCAGGAAAAGCACCAAAATGCTGAAATGTATCTTCAACCTAGTTTGCATTTGCTTTTTTACCAACCCAAATTCACCTCAGTAAAAGACCCAGGGCTAAAATCAATCCAGTCTACAAACCTGCAGAAACCCCAAATGGCCTATTTTAGGAATTCTTGGGAAAACAAGGGTAGTCTCCAGGACCGATCCTTGCCTCAACAAAAACTGGCATGTCAAGCCCACCTCAGGTTAGTAAATGATTTCTAATAGGTCAACAGGCTGAGCCTGAGATTACCTAGGTGGCCAATCCCATGGCAGTACGAGAGGATATGACTGGCAGAGACTCCTAGAGAAGCTTAAGCTCCTGTCTCCTTGTCTTGACCAGACGGTCTCATCCCCATTATCACTACTCTGTTGTGCCCCAACAGGAGCTACCCAAAGCAGATGAGGTTCAAAGAAAATTTCCTGCCGGCTGAGGATAGCACAGTGATGTGACAGAGTAGATCAGGCTCACCTGTCATACACCAACTAACGCTTCAAGGTCTGCTCAAGTCTGCAGGCCACACTGCTAATGGACATAAATCCATCCCCCACTCTAATTCCCGCTAGGGAAGGTGGAGGAGGGTTGGCCTTTCCTTCGACAGCTTCAATGGTCTTGTGGCAAAACCAGTTTCTTCTAATTTCTGCACTGTACCAGTCACAAGAGTTTCCAACTTTTGACCTGAGGCAATGCTGGGATATAGGCAGAAATAATGCATGCCAGGAGATTCACTACATACACAGCTTTGATTTGCAGTCTACCTGACTGTAGATCTAACTGAAGACCTTCAATGCAATCTAATACACTCAGGTACACTTAACTGATGTTTTGAACTTACATTTGAAAAATGGCACAAAGAAGAAATCATTAAGTCTTGGAACCATACAATTTTGGTGTTCTTCATAGGACCACTATGAACCCCTTTGGTGCCCTATTCATCCCTGTGACAGAAGAACCTTATCAATGAATAAAATGTGATCAGATTGAAGAAATTTAAAATAAATAAAGAGCTGTGATTAAAATATTCAAAATCAGAAAAAAATCTGTGATCCTGTCTGGCACATAAACTCAAGTGATGTGGCTGCTTTACATTCTTTTACAAACCACACAGGACAAGATTGAAGCAATGATGGTCTTAAAAATGTAACCGTAACTTATATGGACCATTCAATGTGTATCATCAGCACACATATGCTGAATTCTATCTTAGAATTCTTAGAAGCAACACATCATTTATGTCTTGTGGCACAGATTAACAAAGCCCAGCTGTGACAGAAGCATGGTCAACAGAGACACAGTTCCAGAAACATCCATCCCTGCCATTTGCACTACAGCAAATATACTCCACAGAAGGCATGCCATCAGCAGGCTGACCCCTAGAGGGGTCAGGTTAGTGCTGCATCTTAGCAGAATGGGCACCCACAGAACAGGCCAAGTGAAGCCTCCACGCTTCAGTTTTACTCTCAGCTCAGCAGTTTTGCTGTGTTAATTTCCACAAAAAAGTCTTACAATCTCATTGAATATTAACAAATTGTTCACTTAATGCTTGGCTTTGTTAGCTGTCAGCCTGGCTACTGCAGGCAGCTTGAGGAGTGACAGTTCCAATCGTGTCACATTACTACTTAAAAGTTTAAAACTGATCTTCACTCTTCCATATATAAGAGAAACAGCAGCCATCTAGCTTCTAGAATCCCTATTCCTTTATCTAGTTGTCTTACCTGGGTAGGAGGACATCGATTTTTCTTTTAATTTGCCAAACACTATAAAATTATTTCCTTCTTGCTCAAAAAGTTACTTGTCTCCAGTAGGTGGTACAATTGGATGGGAGGTTCAGAAATCATTGCACAGCAACACTCATCATTAACCAGAGGAGATGGTCAGCATCATGTAAGAAGGATGAGAGCTGAGGAAAACGGCAGCGATCAGGAAAGCCCACCTCCAGCATATTTTTGCCAAAGTGGTGGGAGCTAGTGACATACTTCCCCTCACTGTAAGGCCTTCTCTGGTACTATACATGTGTGCTACATTCAACAGCTGTTTCTAGTAAAAGCTGGTTCAGAAAAAAAGGAAATTGGTTACTCAGACTTTACCTTTTCACCTGTTAAAGCTACCATGTCCAGAGGTCCATACATAAAGCGGCCAACTAGTACCTGAGGACCGTCTTCTGCTGCAATGACATCATTAGCTCGGTGATTAGCAGTCACGTTCTGAAATAAGATCAGAGGGTGGGAAGGGTAGTGTTTGCTTTTGTAATGAGGCTACTGTCTCTACTACGTAATTATGAACAGTGACACAGAAACACAGTCCTGGACAGTGTGTCTGAGGTATGTCACAGTGCACCTTAGATCACCCAGCAAAACTACGTTCCTATTTCAGCTGGGGCCAGGTTTCCAATGTTCCTGAATAGACTTCCTAGTGAGAGCGCTCAAGATGACCAAGTAAGAGAGAACGTTTAAGGAAATGCCAATTATCTTTCACTTCAAGCGGTGCCATAGATTCACAAGATTCTGTGCAAGACGCATCTTAACTGACATTTCTAACTGAAGCAGCATCTGAAGAATGAAGAAATTATTTTTTTTCTGGAGTTATGGATTCATCTATAAGAAAACAGAAGAACAACTTCTTTGCTTAACTGAAACTTAAGGCCCCTCTGTTACTTACAGAAAGAATATGCTTTCTCCCAACATGTAGTGATAAACCAAGAATAAATTTTTCCTATTGCCTAACTGTTAATTTGTTTGCCTCTGGGTTACATTAGCAGTTTTCAGCTCTTTAGTAATATTCAGTGATGTAAACGCATGCTTTGGGAGATCAAACTCCACTTAAAGTGCCACCAAACCCAAGTTTTATAGCTGCCATATATATTCAGATTCATACTTACTCTCAATTTGACATGTGTCCTTTTGCGTAGCCATTTTTCTCGTGGATTGGATGGACTTAGTGTTGCTGGATCCAGGTTGTCATTTTCCTTGAAATTTACATTTTCATGCCTCATCACCTGAAATTATATAAATACTTCGATGAACAGTGTGTGGCCTGGGGAGTCACGGTACTTGGCAAAGAAAGGGGAAGTACAGTGCTGCCCCAGCTGAATGACACTGCAGAGCCAAAAGCACAATGAAAGTAGAAAGAGGTACAGGCCATGTGTTCACATTAATTGTAAAGACAAATAAACCGCTTTCACTCTGTTGGCCAACACTTAATCTCAAGTACTTGTTAAACGGCTCTTCCATTCACAACAGAGCTTGCACATTCTTCCAGAGAAAATGGTGAAAACATTAGGATGGTATCAAGTGACAGCCACATGGTCTGCTCATGGTCTGCAAAGTCAGTAAAGCAGCTTAAGACCATGACATACTTTTAAATGTCCTTTATGGGGCAGAGGTCAGATTCCTCACTCCATCTGTATTGATTTTTTATACATATACTCAGCCAGAACAGTTCTTACCACCTTTTGGATATTACTCACCACTGCAGTAGATGATAGGCTCAGGATTTAGCTTGTGGCTAGCAACATCTGAAGATAAGAGGCCTATAACTTGTGAACATGCAAAAACCCTAATATGCCATACAAGCTACACATTCTTATAACCTAAATGCCACATGCTTACCAAGAAACTTGCATGTCCAACTCAGATTTTGGGACACAACCCACAGATTTCAAGACAAGCCCTGTCTTACTGAAATGCACCCTGAGATCATGGATAGAGTGACACTGCTTCATTTTGAATGAGAAGTGGCTTAGTCTGTCTCTTTCACAAAAATTACTCAAGTCAAACATTTGGTTTTCTGTGCCAAAGTTTTCCACCCTGGGTACCGTCTCTGGAAGAGTGGCCTAGAATAATTCTGAAAGATGTCTCATATGAAGTCCCTTGAGTAAAATCCTGTTGTATTCAGCCTTAGCAAACCAGCTGGCTTGCAACAAATCATAGTAACGCTGAGGTCAGTGTGTTTTTTAACAAATTGGCATAAATTCACTGGAGATCACATGCACGAAATAGATGTGCCCACAGGGTATTCAGGAGCCATTAGCCTTCAGCTTAACGCCCCCTGCCCC